CTTATCGTCTCTTGTGAACTGTGATCACTGCGGCAAGAGATATCACAGTATGATCATACAAATACCTTAATAATACATCAAATGCTTAAGTCCTTAAATGTTTCCATCTCGTAAGCTTGCCACAGTCGTTTGGATCCTGGCGAGCGTTGCGCATTTGTTTCCGTTGTAAAACTTCAGAAATGTTCAGAAATCAATACGACAGCGACACAACGACATGGTCCCCTCAGGGCAGACTTCACCAGGTCGAGTATTCTTTAGAAGCTGTGAAGCAGGGTTCAGCCTGTGTTGGAATTCAAGGCAAAGACGCTGTTGTTTTGGTGGCTCTGAAGAGAAGTGGTGGTGATTTAGCTTCTTACCAGAACAAGATTGTCAGAATTGATGGGCATTTGGGTGTTGCTTACGCTGGTTTGGCTTCAGATGCTCGTGTGCTTAGCAACTTTATGAGGACACAAAGTTTAAAGTCTCGTTTACTCTTTAACCGCCCTCTGCCTGTATTCAGAATAGTTAACCAAATCAGCGATAAAGCCCAGGCTAATACGCAACAGTACGGAAACAGGCCTTATGGTGTTGGTTTGTTGGTTGGTGGATACGATGAGACCGGAGCGCATTTGTTTGAGTTCTCTCCTTCCGGAAATTTCTTTGAGTATACGGCCATGGCTATTGGCGCCAGATCGCAGTCAGCCAAGACGTATTTGGAGAAGCATTGCGATAGTTTTGCAGAATGTATGCGTTTACCTTTTGAAAAGGATGTTGATTAACCTTTAGGCGAAATTGATGCTCTTGTTTTGCATGGTTTGAGGGCTCTAAGGGACACATTGCAACAGGAAAAGGAATTAACTGCAAAGAATGTTTCTATTGCCATCGCAGGTAAGGATGTTGACTTCTACATTGCAACTGAGGAACAAAATCAGTCATGGTTAGACAGAGTCGAAGGAGGTGTCAAGGCCCCATCAGCTTCAGCAGGTACTGATGGTGCTGCTCCTATGGAAACTGAATAAACACTAATTTACTTTGCTGTGGTAGATCTTGTAACTAATCTTGCTGAATACTCCACTCCTGTTGAAGGATCAGATTTCTCATAATAATAATTCAAAATCTCTGATGCAGCCTTCTCTTCAATCTGAATTTGAATGAGGCTCTTCTTTTTGATGTACTCCGTGTTTGTCTTTTGCTGTCTAGCCTGCTGTTGAATTTCTGCAAAAGATAGTTTCTGCTTCAATTGATCGCTTTGATCTTGTTGTTGCGTCTGAACTTGGGATCGCTGTTGTTGTTGTTTTGACGCATTCAGTCGAGCTGCAAATGTTGTGCCAAGACTTGTTCTTGGAGGAGAGTTGAAACTAACCGATGGCATAACTTGCGAGGCAGATGTTGGACCAGGAGGGCTAAATGACTTCCACGGCGAATCATATGAGCTTCTTCTTGGATAGCTTGAACCAGCAGGCGAAGTGGAGAAGTCTTGAGATATTGGTCTAGGTGAAGACTGATTGATCTTTACAGGAGTTTTGATTTTTGCCATGTTTGTTGTCCAAGGATTTGATGGTCCTGCAATGGGCTCAGGCTGTGGTTTTGAAGCCTGCTTCCTTTCTTTCTGGCTCAGTTTCTTTCCCTTAGGAGTGCTCTGGCTAGGCATTAAAGATGGAACACCAGAAACATGGTAATTATTCTGATTTTGCTGTTGCTCTTGTAAAATTAGATCTTTGAAAGAGATCGGTTTAGCCGCGTGCCTTGGAGACATCATCATTGGCGGTCTGATAAAAGGAATAGTCGCCGGTACAGATGGTAAAGGATCATCATCTAACGTAAACATCAAATCACTCATTGATTGTTTCTTGTTTGGAATCGGACCCGGCGATAGTGTTAAACCGTCATTGTTTTCAGTTCGAAAGGATTTCGATATGCTGTTCTTTCTTGATGACGCCCTCAATGTGGGTGAAAGGACAGGACTTGGAGATAACATGGGAGACTTCATGTTTCTTGAAACATTGTATTTGTAGTGAGCTTTTCCTGGTAAACTCTCTTCGTCCAAATCGTAGCTTATTCTAGAACGAATGTCGCCAACGATATTTTTCAGCTCTTTCTCCAAATCATGAAGAAATTCGTCCAGTTCGCTTCCATGTTCACCTAAAGCCGACTTAACGACATCTTCGATGGACATTGTATCCAGAAAGGATGCTTTTCGTTTGATCACCTTTTCGTTGTTAAGAATAGAAGGAACATTGCTAGTTAAATCGAGAACGTCTTCGAGATAAGCAAAGTTAAAGGCAATAAACCTTAAAAACACTTTTTTGTAGTCAAATCTTGTAATTCCTGAAACATAATAAACGCTGAGCAAATCCCAGAAATTTTCTCTGATATCGAGAATTCGTAACATGTTCAACTCAATTTGAGATTTCAATTTATCAAAAAGCAATTCATCCGTAATGAAGAACAGTGACAATAATAACTGAAAGTCGTACAAAGTAACATATTTAAAGTCAGCATTGAAACTCTCAAGAATGAAACTCATATGATCTTTCGAAATGTGAGTCAAAACGACGCTGTCAGACGGATTATCCATCATCTTTCTTGTGTTGAATATGCCTTCAAAGTATTGACTCTTTTCAATGAGCAACCTCTTGTCACAGACAAGCGATCCATCTGCCAGAATAAGTTCAACATTGTCAGAGGAGGAGATCATAACAGGGCGTTCTTGAGAGAAGTTTGGTGGCCTGGGAACCAACAAACTATGTTCCTTAACAACCA